TTAAGCTATGTTCAAACTATGATTTTATGCTATATTTTATAAAGCTCATTCGTGTTCATTCATTTACCGCTTTACTATATTACTATTCATTGGGCAATGGCTCACTGTGTTACATGGACTTTTCTATTTCCCCCATAGTACCCATGTCCATCGGATATGACATAGATAAAGATGTGGAATATGTGTCTGACATTCGTATTCAATTTAGACACTCAGATCCTTTAATTTGTGACAATACATGAAGAAGAAGAAACTCACATTTGTTAGTAAAACAATATTTTTAGCCTCTCACATGATTTAGATATAGAAATTTCATATTTTTCCTGATTCCTATTTAATTTCTAATATAATGCCACATAATTTACAATATCTCATGAGAATATTATATAATATACAATATATATGTGCATATGACATGTCCTTGTACCCACATCCAATTATGGATATGTACCCCAAGATTATAAGATTTAAATTTATGAAGGTCTGATACTTGGATACACACCGGTACCCAATACTCGTACCCGAGTCCGTGTAACATAGATGGCTCACCCCTCTCCCTTATATATATGTAGGTGACGAAGAGCACGGTTATGAAGAAAAGTTTGCTTAAAAATTAATCTTGTATATTCGTGTTGGTTTTGTAAGGTTTTGTCGTAAGTGATGTACTTTACTTTTTGTTGTATGGATCATGTAATAATAATACAAGACAATAATCCAAGAGAAATGTATGCTCCCATTTCATATATTATGCACTGCTCTGAATGGATGTTTTAAATGGACTCAATACAAGAAAATAATGGCATCTGCACCTGTAAATGAAAAATTTGCCCCAATTATCCTAAGAGTCCAACTTGTTTTGAAAGTTAGGCCTTTGGTAGTCTACGACTACTGGCCGATCACTACACTATCCTGTTTGGGGAGGGATGGGGTTGTGACAAAGTGATATCAAAGCACAACTTCATTCACACGCACGTTATCCTTCAAAGCAATAGATCTTTTAGAATGAAACCATAGGAATGCATTCAAGCCACGTATGTGTTTGTATCTAGACGTATTTAGGTATATGTGTATAGCTACAGTGTGGAGATATAAATGTTTGGGAGTGTCATAAGGTCTTGATCTTGCAAGAAAATTATAAGATTTTATTAGAGTTTGTTGTTTGAAAGTATGCTAGACTATGGGAATATTAAATCGATAATGATGTTCGTTAGTTACGTGAAATTATGGAAATAGTGAAATATGACGAGTTATAGCTTGAGATGTTGAACCTTAGAGACTCATACCCTTGCTGAATGACCTTGAAAGTCCGATTGGAATTGTGTTCGGCTGGTGTAGCTTCGAATAAGAAGTTTTGGGTAAATTCCTTGGAAATGACTATGTTGTCCTATTAAAACATTTGTGTATATATATGTATAGTGCAATCTTCTAATTGTGTAAAAGTATGTGTTATGTGTTATGTTCTAAACTAGATATCATTTGGTATACGCATATATTATCCTAAGCGTCATTAATCCCCGTTTCTTGTGTCTTTAGAAAACATGGTGAAAAGCATAAATGTAAAAGAGGTCGAGTCTTTGTCAAAGCGAGTAGAGAAGGTGGAGGAAGTGCTTAAGAGTGTAATGAAGATTATGCAACAATATTATGATAAACCGCAGAATTAAAAGGCAAATCAAGCATTAAGTTAAAGGAGCCAAAGGACACATCTAAGAAATTTGTGGCAGAAGAGTCAAGCAATTCTGGACAGAGTAGTAGATTAATTCCAATCATAGTTCTAAATCGCAGTATCGGGTAACGTAACGGTATTGATCGCGGAGTATCGACTGGTACGTATCGGGAATCGGGTGTCGCGACCGTGAAATTTTAAAAATCATTAGCAATCCCTCTAAAACTGAATTTTATGCATTTTTTTTACTCTTTTACCCTTAATTTGTTACATTTTAATCAAAATTTTGATATGTAGGAGCACTTTTAACTCATTTTCAACTGAATGATATGTATTTATTTTAATCTCAAGCTTTTTTTGGCATATGTTAAACTTTTAATAAAAAAATTGATTGAATATTTATTTTTCTTGTACTGAGAAAAAAAATAAATATATAAATATATATTAATATAAATAGAGGTGTAGGTGTTTTTTAAAAACAAAAAAACTAAACTGAACATTTACAATCTACAAATCGACCATAAACACAAGCACCTCCATGTACCTAAGTACCTCTCCCTTCTTATCCATTTCAATCTCAGACTCCCAATGCACCTCCATGTACCTAATTACCTCTCTCTTCTTATCCATTTCAATCTCACTCCCATACCATAATACAACCACAAACAATCCTATCCCCCCCCTCTCTCTGTGTGTAAAAATGTTGATCGAAAGTTGCAGAATCCGGCCAAACCCAGACAAATATTTCATCTTTAGATCGACAAAAGAAAAAAAAAAAAAAAAAAAACTAGGAACAGAGCACAACAACAACAAAAAACAAAGCACAACAACAACACAAATTACAACTTGCAAGTTGCAACAACTCAGGGAGAAACCTTCTTTGAAGAAGCTTGAAGGTTGTTGAAGTGAACTCCATAGCCCAAAAGAAGCTTACATCTATGGAGCCAAGCCACAAAGAAGTTTGATTGTGAAATGTGAACTGCAATCTGTAACAAAAGCAAATCTATATCTGACTGTATCGCCCCATGTATCAGATTCAGGCCACTACCTACCGGGACTCGGACGCTACGGCTGCGAATTTCATTCTCACCAGTATACCGGTCCATATCCGAATCGGTGCTATGATTTTCCGGTACGAATCGGCCGGTATGTATCGTACCGGCCGATATTTAGAACTATGATTCCAATATGTTCAACATGTCATAAGCATCATTGGGGAATGTGTCATTGAATTTCTGGAGCATGTTTAAATTGTGGAAAAATGGGACATCAAGTAAGGAATTGTCCTAAGGTTTAAGGAAATCTCCTTGTTCTTACATCAAGCCACTTAGTTAGTTTAAAGGTTAGTGCCTAACCTACTTGTAAAGTAAAGAGATCATTCTCTAAGTATATGTATAAAGTATTGATCTAGTCGTGCCATACATGCCTTTTTATTTGTACACATCTTATTTAATTTTTGATAAACTTAGAATCTATCCACTTGTTTGTTTGAAACTTAGCCTTTTTGCATGATAACTAGATTTCCCAGACTCTTAGAACGTATATTACTAAAACTTAAGCTAACTGAAAGATTGAACAATTCAGAGCAATTAAAACTAGTCTACTTGGCATTAGTTTGAGAATAACCAGTTTCTTTTGACCATATCATTATTAAAATCCTTTTGGAACATTAAAAGAGAGAAATTTTAATTTACTATAGTCCATAACCTATAATGTATTGACCTCATAAGAAGGAGAGATATAACAATTCCCTCGTCTCATTCTAATCACACAAATGAATGAATCATTAAGTGCATAATGGTGGTATGTTCCATAGATAAAAATTTTAGATTCAGATTTCAAATCCTAACCTAGATAGCATACTCATTGTAAAGAAACTCACCTTTAGTGTTATCATTATGACTTAGTGCTTGATAAGAATCAACAAATTGAACTTCTTCAGAATTACAATTGTTAATAAATGAGAGAACTTCCTTAGAATCTAAGAATCATAATTAAATAACCTATAATGAATTGAAAAGTCAAGAACTTAACTTTATGATCAATTAAGTGAAATTTCTATCATTGTTTAGTAACTACCAATCGTAATGGACAGAATAAGATAACCAAGAAACGAAATGGAGAGTAAAGCAATGTGCCCTTAAAATACTTTCACATAATGAAAGATTTTTGAGAAAAGTAATCCCACTGCATTTTAGGTTATGTACGAGAAGAGATAATTTAGTTTCCTATGTAGTATTTTTTATTTAGATCCTAGATTTTTAACACAGGTAGCACCTTTGCTGAGGAAAATTCTTTTGAATACTAAATTTAATGACTTGTTAGTATTTATTAGACCAAAAATGGAACGGAGACGATTATAGCATTAAAAGAACATCATCGAAAACTAAGAATCTTAATCAAATAACTTGTAGAGAATTAAAAATATCTGAAAACTTGGCCTTAAGATTGATTAGATAACATTTCTAACGGCATTTGATAACTGACAAGTGTAAATAGAATAGAATGAAATAACACAGTAACAAAACCAAAAAGAAGAAATGCATTCTTAATGTACTTAAATCTAATCAAAGAACTGATAAACATTAACCTTAGAAGAACTTCATAATCTTACACTCCCTATTCATTCTATCGATAACAGAAGAATCATAAATCTCGAAAACGGATTCTAACAACTAAGAGCAACAGCAATGCGGTCTTAAAATACCTATGTAAATATAATGTGCACCAGAAAAAAAAAAAAAAAAAAAAAAAAAAAAAAAAAAAAAAAAAAAAAAACAAAACAAAACAAAACAAACAAACAAATAAGAAGACTGGTAGAAGTACTTTAGCAACCCTTTGACTTTGAACGGAAACAAAAACATGACAATGTAAGTTTTATAATGAAGTCAACTCACCTATTTAGAAATGATAGATTAGCTAAGAATGACTAGTGCAATTAAAAGAGGGAAGAATGTGAACCAAGGAGGAGTAATTAATTTCAATTATCTTTAATAAGAATAGTCACCTAATACCAATAAAGTTTGTTAAAACAATAGTTCTTAATTAAACAATAGCTTACCATCTCATGAAGCTTTAGCTAAGGAAAAGAATTAGCAGTTAAGAAAGATTGGATAAAAAAAAATGAAAACAACCACAAATCAAGAAACATGAATGTTAGAATTTACCTACACCTACCACCACCTACTACCACACCTACTACACCTACCACCAATTCACCCTCACCTACTACACTCCACCTACCACCTCCATTACCATCTTCACCTACTCCCAAATCCTCTCCTATATAAATCCTTGTAATATACACAACATCAATATATCAATCAATAATATACATCATATTATTTAACATGGTATCAGAGCAAAGTTAAAGATCTTGGTGTTCTTCGCCTTCCGGCGGGCGGCAACCTTGCCTTGACCGTCCGCCGGATCTCAAATCACCAGAAATCCAGACCCAATTTTGAGTCACAAATTGTTGTTTGATTCCAAGATCTCATCATTAATTTGCAAAGAGTCTGTCTGGTCTGGTGATTGAATATTTGTACAGAATGGGCAAGTGTATAAGCTTGACAGCGTTGCAAAACCAACGCTACAGGCACTCCTTCGGCAAGGCAGGCCTCAAATCAGTGACCACCGATCTCGGTGACGGCACCGTCATGCACTTCTGGATTCCCAAGTCCCACAAACCCAACAAGCCCACTCTTCTCCTCATCCACGGCATCAACGCCATGTGGCAGTGGAACCCGTTCATATCTCGATTCTCCTCCAAATTCAACGTCTACGTCCCTGGCCTGCTCTTCTTTGGCGACTCCTACACCACCCTGCCCGACAGGACCGAGGCATTCCAGGCCCGTAGCATCATGCGGGCCATGGAGGCATACGGGGTGGCGCGGAGCATGCTTGTGGTGGGACTGAGTTATGGCGGATTTGTTGGGTACAGCATGGCGGCGCAGTTTCCGGAGGCGGTGGAGCGGCTGGTGATAGGAGCTGCTGGGGTGTGCATGGAGGAGAAGGACATGGAAGATGGGTTGTTCAAGGTCAAGAGTATAGATGATGCCGCTACCATATTGTTGCCGCAGACCCCTGACAAGATGAGGGAGTTGGTCCAACTCACGTTTTACAAGCCGCCCAAGATCCTGCCTTCATGCGTCCTCACCGATTTCATTCGAGTGATGTGTACAGAATACCTTGAAGAAAGAAAAGCATTGATCCGAGCATTGCACCAGGACAGGAAACTCTCTGATCTTCCCAGCATAACCCAGCTTTTCTTTTTTTATCACCCACCAACCCTTACTTTAAAACCACACTTTATTTTTTTTATTATAAACCACACTTTTTGCAAAGCCCACGACACAGCTTTGCACATGCCCTTTCTGATAACATTATTTTTTCTTTATTTTTTATTTTTTAATTCAATCCACTCCCTCTCTCTCTCTCATCCCTTTTTCTATCCACTAAACCCACTTTCATCATTTCTCTGATTCCATTACAAGCAACCCACGTGATTCTCTTCTTATTATTTCTTTCTTTTTTATTTTTCTTTCACTTTATTTTTCATCTTTTTTTCATTATTATTTCTTTGCACAAAAAAAAAAAAAAAACAATAAATAAGAATTGAAAAGCAACCCAGATAACATAACTAAATAACTAAATACATAAGCATTGAACAGCAAACAAGTGGTCAAGGAGGCTGGCAGCCATGTGCTGTCGGCCACGTTTGCTGGCAAGCAATATTATATTTTTTTTTTTTCGTCAAGTTTAATTATCTTATTATAATAAAAATATATATCTATATATATTTTTTCTTTTTCATCCCACCATTTCAGAACCTTTTACAGCAACCGACACATCACCACACCTTCCACCCCCCAGCCTGCTTTTCCATTAATACATTTTTATTCTTATTCTTTTTATTATTCTTCTTCCCACCAAAAAAAAAAAAAAAAAAAAAAAAAACAAACAAACAAAACATTCACCAACTCGTTTTTCATTCCACAAACTTGTCATTTCTTCATGCCGGGCTCAATCCCGATCACAATTTTACATACACACAAAAAAAAAAAAAAAAAAACAAACCAAAACAAATCCAACACCCACAAACAAAAGATTTGTTTTCTTTTCTGCAGACGGCCATCCACCGACCTCACTTCTTCGCCTCTTCCGCCGGTCTTTTCTTCTTGCCTCCGTCCTGGGCGGCCCTTGCTGGTGTTGCCTCTGTGTTTCCCACGCCGCCGAGCACGTTCACTCCCTCCTGCTCCTCCACTACAGCATATGGTGGCCCTCCAAATCGGAACATCACGGTGGCCTTCCGCTTCAGCTCCTTGTTTTCCGCCTTTAACACACTTATCTCTGCTCGCGCATCCTTATACATGCGCTGGAGCAGAGCCAGCTGGGCGTTTAACTGCTGCACCTCATTTGTCCTACTCTGCGCCTTTTGATGGCACGCCTTTTGAAAGATTGGGCACACCTTTTGAGGGTGCGACTTTTTAAGGGTCCGACAAGACTCTGTAAACTGTCCCGACATTGATTCCGGTTAGTTTCTACAAGGGTCCAGCAAGACTCCGTAAACTGTCACAACATTGTCTTCTACAACGGTCCGACATGACCCCATAAACTGTCTTCTACATCGGTCTGACACCACCATACGGTGTCCTCTACATGGTTCTGACACCCCCATACAGTGTCCTCTACAACGTTATGACACCACCATTCAGTGTCTTCACCAATGGTCTGACACGACCATACAGTGTCTCCTATCCTTTTTTATTTTTATGTATTTTCTTGTTTTGTTCCTCTCTTCAAACTCAAGTTGGTTAGTTTCTATCCTCCTTGAGTTTGCGGGGGGCTGTTAGAATTTACCTACACCTACCACCACCTACTACCACACCTACTACACCTACCACCAATTCACCCTCACCTACTACACTCCACCTACCACCTCCATTACCATCTTCACCTACTCCCAAATCCTCTCCTATATAAATCCTTGTAATATACACAACATCAATATATCAATCAATAATATACATCATATTATTTAACAATGAATTATTAAGAAAAATCTGAGATACAAGATAAATATCAGGTTTCAAACCAAGAAGAATATTAAATGATAATTTATTAGAGTGTGCAGCAGAAAATAATAACTTATCCATACGAATGAATTTCGAGGACAAAATTTTTAAAGGAGGAGAGATTGTAACACTCCAAAGAATGCCGCGTACCATAACTACTTTATTATCTACCCTTGAGCGTCTTAATTCAAGTTAGCTATCTCATTATACAAAATACTTAAAGTCAAGCATAGAAATGAGTAGTTAGAAAGCCTTGAGGAAGAGTGCCTAAGAAGAAGGAACTTAAGAACGTTTATGATTGATGAAAAACCTAAGACAATTTAGAAGTAGAACCTTGGTGTGAAAGTTAATAAAAGACATAGAGGTGGGGGATTGATTTTGAAGTAAATATTAAATGTTTAGATCACCTAAGAAACCTTAAGTGAGGAGCTTAATGATCCTAACCTAATGAATAGTGTTTTTAAAGGCTCAAGGTGCACGAAGGTGCTGAAGGTCGCTTGGGGCCTAGGCGCAAGGCGCGGGCTTTATTGAAGTAAGACGCACAGTCTTAGTAAAAAATAGTTAAATTAACATAGACTAATTATTCATAGTACTAAGACAATTTGTTTTAAAATAAAAAGTAATCAAGACAAATTATAGAATAATTCTCAAAGCCATGAAAGTACGTATTACATGGCATTCCAATTTTCAAAAATAAAATAATCCACATTCAACAAAAAAAAAAAAAAAAAAAAAACCCCAAAAAAAAAAAAAAAAAAAAAAAAAAAAAAAAAAAACAACAACAACAACATAAACGCTAAACATCCAAAACATAAATATCCAACAAATACTAATATAAGTCTTAATATTTCAAAACATCAATATCATAAAAAAGGGTAGGTTAGGTCAGTCAATCATCATCCTCATCAACATCAATGGCAAGCAAACGATCATCTTCTTCTCCATCAGTTGATTTATATCCCTCCTCTGTGTCACAAAAAAGAAGAAGAAGAAGAAAAAAAACAGAGAGCAATGAAGAAGAAGGGGAAGGAGGAGGAGGAGAAGAGGCAGTAGAAGAAGAAGAAGAAGAAGAAGAAGAAGAGAAAAAAAAAAAAAAAGTCCCCAGCAGTAGCAGCAATGAAGAAGCACCTAGCAGCAGCAACGAAGAAGAGGAGGAGAAGGAGAAGAAGGGAAAAAAAACCACCTAGCAGCAGCAACAAAGAAACAGCCCAAAAAAACAGAAAAAAAAACAAACAAACAGAGAGACGAGACGACAGCACCCAAAAAAGAAGAAAGAAAAAAAAAAAAAAAAAAACCCACCAAAAAGAAAAAAAAAAAAAAAAAAAAAAAAAAAAAAAAAAGATGAAGAAGAAGAAGAAGAAGAATACTCATCTGAAGCCGAAGTTGAAGTCCTCAATCAAAGACGAAGTCGCGATGAGCTGTAGACTGCACGAAGAGAAGAGACAACACCTTTCTTCGATAGATTTAGGGCTTCAAGTCTCGACTGTTGGGTATTGAGTTGTATGAGTTGCAATCGTATTTGTTGGACCCATTCAAACTCAGATCATAGCCATTAGATAAGCATCAGGGGAAAAAAATAATAATACAAAAGGCATGCTTAATCGTCGCCTTGAGCCTATTTGAGGCTGACATAAGGCTCGGCCAAGGTGCGCGACTCATCTACCTCGCCTCGCCTTGGGTCCCTTCAGTCGCAGAAGCTGCGCCTCGCTGCGCCTTGCGCCTAGGCGTGCCTTTCACAACATTGCTAATGAATAGAGTTTAATGAACATTTCATTGGAAATTAAGCGGGATTAAGATTAAGTAAGCTTAATCAAGATTAATTAAGCTAAACCAAATAAAGATAAACCTTGATTAATTAGAGACTAACATTGATTAATTAAACTAATGGTGGAGATTAAGGAATTGATGAAGCAAGCATGTGACACCCTCAAAATAATAACATTAAACTAATCACATTCCTTTATTTCATTGAGTTTAACTCAACCAACCTGAAACAAATCCGCCCAACACATCCTATAACTCAAATACGAAGTAAAAGGATGTAAACAAAATAATAAACAACTACCAACATCCACGGACACATGTCCGGATCACGGTATAACAAGGGTAAACCCGGGATCGCTATAAAGCATATAGGTGATGCATACGTACACCACCCTTTTGTCCCATACCTTCTTCGTCTTCCAATCCTTTTGTCCAGATCAGCCTTAACCCCAGTTCTGTGTTTGTGTAAGACCACCTTTACATGCTCTCTCAAGTGATTCGCTTTTATTTTTGTGCAGCAAAATGGATCTTACCAACACATTCCAACTCAGAATGAAGATCTCAATTCACTTAGCAAAGCCCAAAAACACAGCAGAAGTGTCCTTGAGTCCACATCTACGTCGGGCCCAGATCCACAAGAATCAAATAGGAAACAGTGGTAAAAGCCCATTGTTGAAGCCCAAACCCAACAACGCCCACAAACAAGCTTTTTGTGCCTAAATGACTAATTCTTCATTTTACTTTTCTTCTCAATCTCCACATGTCTACTTGTGTTTATCTTTTTCATTTTTTTCACTCTTTTTTTAAAATTGTCTCCAAAATTTTATGATTCAGTATTTGAATCTCAATTTAACAACTTCCACATACCCATTTCTTATCTTGATATCAAAATGATTTCCACTCCATGCATCAAATTATAAATATGCTAACCATGATTCGTTTTCTTTGAAAATCTTGCAAAATCAACTATCTCTATGTGTGGCAAATCCTTCAAAACGTTGTTTTGTTGCTATGACTTTAGAGCAAGAACTGCATATTTCATTTCACAATAATAAAATAAAGAGAATAAATTGTAGGCAGTTAAATTCTTAATACATGACTACTAAAGAGCATGAATATGAAAAAAGACCATGTCTATTGCAGGGAAGACAAACTTACTCCAGAAACAATAATAGAAAAAATGACATGGCAACAGAACAGTTACAATTGAAACAATTGGTTTTTGTAGCACACGGTCCAATCCGAATCCCCTGAAGCAACCAATTCACCACCTTCAATGCATATGGACTCTGCACAAGAGTTGGATCTTTGCATATGAAATTTTTGTTTTCCTTCTTCATCAGACTTTGATTCATGGCCAACAACTACAGGAAATTCAAAACCATTGCTAAGAATTGCAGCATTCCCTACATCAATATTCAAGTCATGACTTGGACTGGATTTGGACTTGCCATTACTGCATTCCCTAACATCATTCTCATCATCTGACAAACATCTGCAGCAATTGAACTCATCCATCTCAAAAATCCGACTCACTAACCCGTCCCTCCATGATATCCTCATCGGAGAGCATGATATATCCTCTAAAGTAGAAATAGAAATGCAAGAAGCATGATTATCCCCAGTGTTTGGGAGTTGGGGAAAGTCAATGGAATTGGAAGGTGAAATCAAGTCAGAGAACTGAAAACTAAATCCTAGAGGATCCCAGATTGATGTCTGGTTCTTAGGAGATAAACTTGCAATCCCAGCCACAGAATCCCTTCCAGATCCAAAATCATTTATTTGATGATCATGTTCATTTAACCAAAACAGTCCAACACGCCTATCTGAGCTCAAATCGGATTGTGGGGTTTGAATAACATTCCCACTACCCAAAGATTCAATGGAGAATGGTGAATTTTCCCCAGAGAGATCATATCTAGGTTTCCTCTGCTCTTGTGAGATAATCGCCTCAGAAGTAGGTGTAGCATGGGGAGAAACTGACAATGTAGGATTTCCACTGGGAGAAAGCAAAGTAACCCTAGTTTTTCTCTTACTACAACTTCCACTAGTAGTGCTACTACTATAAAAAATGTTGCATAAGTCAGAAGAAATTCTGTGACCCGACGACAAAGGTGAAGAGGCAGAGGCAAAGCCTAGTGATTTTCGAAGAGGTTGCAACCCATTTTCAGTATCAGTCTCGTGATCCCCATCCTCGTCGTGACAGGGAGATAAGAGCCAATGAACTGAAGCTTCAACGGGCAGAGGGGCCAAAGACATCCCCGATTTACTAGGAATTTCAATGTCATCATCAGCATTGTTGGAAATGTTTGATTTACCAAAATTAGAATCATTTTTTCCTACAGTAAGTAAACCTCTAGCTCTGCATTTTCTCCTATCAGTCACCCCAGAAATAATATGTCCAGCGCCGTAACAAGCAGGCGTTGCTGAAGACACCAGCAAAGATGACCCACATTGAATCTCTGGGGAGACTGAGGCCTCAACAGGAGGAGTTGTAGTAGTAGTAGTAGTAGCTGCTATTGCTATTGCAGTGGAATCATCTTTCATAAGCTTATCATCAAATTCAAATTCAAACTCAAATTCACATCCCAAAACAGGAACACATGCTGCTAATTTACAAACAGGAGTAGTTGTAGAAGTATTTTCAACAAAACCAGTGGTGAAATCAGATAAAGTTAGGGGATTGGAGGTCTCACCTGATTCATCAACATCATCAACCATCATCTTCTTCTTGTGCTTGAAATCGTTAACAGACACAGCAGATGTCGAATCAACTGAGCGACAACAACCAGAGGTCAAGCCCCAACCAGTAGAGGGTTTTGGTTTTAGGGCAATTTTGGAATTGGGTTTCTTCCCAGACCGCTGCAACTGAGGGTTTTTCTTTGGTTTCTGGTTTTGTGAAGTAGTGGGTTCTGCTTTCTCTGTTTCTCTCATTCTCTGTAATGTAATGCTGCTCTCACTGCTCACGTCTCTTCCCTTTGATTCGGCCCCACGACTGACTCGCCATCAACATTTCACATCAGATCTCTCACCCATTTTCAATTGGCATTGAGATTTTGGGATCAGAAAATATGGCTTTGCTTCCAAGCTTAAACAGCTAAACAAAATGCAATTTACAATTCATAATGCATTGCCGTTATGGATCCGGAAGTTCTCTATAGAGATAGTCTGCAACTTTACGGTGTTATTGGGTTGGGTCTCTGAGCTTACCATGGAACCATATCAATAATTCAAACGTTCAATTTATAGAATACATTGTGTACTTTATTTTTACAAAAAAAAAAAAATCACTTTGTTTTGATATAGTAATTACTTCATGACTTTTGTATTAATGGTAAATATAATTTTTAAAATAAACTATTAACATAATTATTATCTAATTAAGTAACTATCGATATTCGATTAATATGATTTTTTAAAAGAATTAAATAATTGATAAATTATATACGTTGAATGATTTGGATTATCAATACGAGTTACATAATAATAGCCAACATAATCAATGAAAATAAATTTTTTTTAAAAATAAATTGAGCAGTATTGTTGTGGGGCCGTATCACCATTGATTCAAAATAATATAACAAATATTTTAGGATAAATTACACTAACATCTTTTGAGATTTATGTTTATTACAGTTTCCTCCTCACATTTGGGAAATTATACTGACTCTCCTTGTCTGTGTAGTTATGTGACGGTGTTAACTTTTAGGGTGATTCTACTTACATCACTCTTTTCCCTCCTTACACCCTCCATCTCATTACACCAGTTAAAAAAAAAATTAAATTCTCATTGCACCTAATTTATTACTAAAACAAACCCTATGATAAAAAATTCTTCAAAACCCATCTCTTTACACCCATGCTGTGTGCTGGGCCTGTTCGGTAATACAATGCTAAACAATTTGAATTACTCTAGTTCCATGTTACCGGATAAAATTTTTTTTCCCAGTATTATGTTACCATTCAATTGGATAATTTCAGTTTACTTCCCAACAAAATTAGTAGAGTCCACATTGAAGTGCCTGTTTGGTCACACAATGCGAAACAATTTACAAAAATTCAATGCTATAACGCTGGAATAAATTGTTTGTTCCAGTCTTTTGTTGCTATACATTTACAAAGCCACTTCCTCCCAAATAATATAGTAATAATTTGTGCTGGGCCTGTTCGATAATAAAATGCTAGTGAATTTTAATTACTCCAATGTTATGTTGCTAGAAAAAATAGATTTGTCTAGTGTTATTTTGCTATGCATTTACAGAGCCACTTTGTTCCAAATAATAATTTGGGTTTGTTCGGTAATTTGATACCAAACTTATATTTTTTGTTATGTAATTTACCGGTGTTAGGTTTTGTTTCTTGGCAATCCCGTTTGACAAAACTTCTTTGAGTTGTAATTTTATTCGCATTTTTTATTTTAGTGAGGCTATGAGTTGTTAGATGCGAATCCAACCCGAATCAAGCCTTTTAGAGAAGTTTGTGATACTAATACTTTCAAGATTGCCACTTCGCTGATTATGACGGGGATCGAGCTGCCCGGTCAGCTCGCAGGGGTCGAGGGGGCAGCGCCCCTTGGCGGGCCCGGGGCAGCGCCACGGCGGGGCCGAGGGGCAGTGCCCCCGAAGCAAAATGCAAAAATGCATTCCAAGTTGCCTGTCCGCTCGAGCGGACATTACCCCGCTCGAGCGGAGAATTCCTGGTTCCAGAAGTTTTGGTCACCTGTAAAAGTACTGAGCTGTGTGATTTTGCGCTCGAGCGGGTTCTCTAGCGCTCGAGCGGACCTCTGTTATATTTCACGCATATTTTGCTGAAGCCGCTCGAGCGAGCTGTTTGGCGCTCGAGCGGAGATCGCGGGACAGATTCTATAAATTCGCGTGTTGGGTCATTGTTTAGGATTACTACTCCAGATCTTCTTTTTGGGTTCTAGGGTTTATATCTGGGGATACACTCTTGAGCGTGTCAGCCACCAATGATTGTGCAAAAGAAAAAGAAAAAGAAAGAGAAGAAGACAAAATATGCACAAGAAAGAAAAAAAAAATTGTGCAAAAGAAAGAAAGAAAGAAAAAAAAAAAGATTCATTGATTGAGGGGGAGCTTCCGCCTTTACTCACCAAATACCCCTTGATTCCTAGTGGTTTGACTTTCCTTTGTCGTGCTTATATTCTCTTGTCGGAGGTCCGGCTTTCATATCACTACTAGAATTGAATCTAGTATTTGTTGAACTCCAAGAGTCACACACACACTTTTATCATGGGATCTATGCTTTTCACATAATGCATCACTTTCTTGCATGAGGAATCTTCTACAGACTGTGCACATTGTGTTTTCTTGTAATGGTGCTTCTTGGATAATCTTATGTGTTTTAAGGTACTAATCTGCAATTCCTTGCTTGCTCCACCATAGTATTTTTGTCTTGATTATTTGATTGGGATTGTTATATTCTGATTAAAATTGATACATAATCACAAATCACCATCTAGGGAATTTCTAGATTTTTCAATTGGTATCAGAGCGGGTCGTTCTATTTTAAATTTTTTTTTTTTTTAGAACGAGATCTTGTTTGATTTGTAATAATGGATACAATTCGTGAAGGAAATTCTATGGTTCGACCACCCCTACTTGACAGATCCAATTATTCTTGTTGGAAAGCTCGGATGAGATCTTTTTTTATAATCTATTGATGAAAAAGTTTGGCAATTCGTCATGAATGGGTGGACTGAACCAACAATTACCGTTGATGGAGTTACAATCCCCAAACCAATTGATAAGTGGGACACAATTGATTACCAAAATAGTAGCTGGAATAGTAAAGCCATCAATTCTCTCTTTTGCACTGTCACACCTGAAGAATTTAGTCGTATTTGTAATTGTGAAGTCGCAAAAGAGGCTTGGGATATCTTACAAACTATTCATGAGGGCACCCCTTCTGTTAAACGCTCAAAACTTCAAAGGCTCACGTCTAGTTTCGAAAACCTTTCAATGAAAGATAGTGAGATCTTTGATGAATTTTATGCGAAGTTGAGTGACATTGTAAATTCCAACTTCAATTTAGGTGAAAAAATTTCAGAATCCAAAGTTGTGGGAAAAATTTTGAGATCCTTGCCCGATTGATTCCAACCAAAAGTTACGGCTATTGAGGAGGCTCAAGATGTTGACAACCTCAAGTTGGATCAGTTAGTTGGAAATCTCCAAACTTATGAAGAACATAGGAATTTCAAAAAGAAACAAAAAGATACTATTGCTTATAGTAGTGCTCATAAAGTGGTAGAGGATTCTGATGAGGATTGTGAGATAGATTCCAAGATTATGGCTGCTTTTGTTAAACAATTTAAAAAATCTTTTTTGAAAAAGAATCCTAATCTTTTGGAATCTACTCATACTCATAAATCTAAAGGCAAAGATAAACTCAAAATTAATTCTATAACCAAGAAGGAGAAAGGAAAGATGCAAGGGAACTCTGAAAGACTCCAATGCTATGAATGCCAAGGATTTGGCCACTTTGCTCAAGAATGCTCCACTCGGTTGAGAAAAAAGAAAGCCCTCGCCATCACTTGGGATGATGAATCTGAATCTGATGAAGATGAAAGTGACAATGAAGATCAAGGCGAAGAGGGACATAAACAATTCCTTGCTTTTATGGCGGTTTCCGAAGCTGTAGGACAAACAGATTCTCCAAAGAGGTCAATTGAGAATATCACTGATGATGAATCCTCGGAGAGCGATCATGAAAAGCTTGAGCAAACTTATGAAAAGTTGTATAAGGAGTCTCTTAACTTATTCAAATTAAATGACAAACTCATAAAGAAACTCAAAACATGTGAAAGTGAGAATGTCAAACTTAAGGAGGAGATTTCCGAGGCCATGATTAATGCCATCAAGGTAGCTGATGATCGACAAGTTCTTTGTGCAAAACTGTTGACTTGTGAGACAGAGAGGAATGAGCTGCTGCAAACCCATGCCATGTATGAAGAAAAGATTGAATCTCTCGAGATGTCACAAGTTTCTTTGGAAGAACTAATGATCAAGAAAGAGGAAGAGCTCAAGTGTGCTATGGCTACCATTGGTCTTTGGAACAAAGGATCAAAGACTTTGGAGGATATCATTGGGTCTCAACAAATGAGTTGTGACAAGAGTGGCATTGGCTTTGGTGGTAAGAAAGAGCAAAAACAGAGTGCTTCAACATCTCGTGATACAAGAACTCAAGGAAAGGGAGAACAAAAAATTCAACATAAGGATGGACTTCTTAAACTTCCTAGAGTTGGTAAGGTAAAGGAAAAAAAGGTACACCCTATACACCCTGTTTTTATTTGTCATCATTGTGGTATGCATGGTCATATTCGCCCTTATTGTTATAAGTTGCATGGGAGAGTGTATTTGCCTAGACCTAGGAATAGGAAGTTGGAAACCATGTCGAGACGGGTTCCTATTGTAGAGGAAAGGAACCACAACGTCAAGACACCACCCAAGAACTGCAATTCTCACAACTTTGTTCGTACTAAAGCAGTTTGGGTGAGAAAACTTGACTTGTGTTAATTTGTTTATTTGTTTTAGCTTTTGGGTTTTTGTGTGTTGTTTTTAATAATAATAAAAAAAAATGTTTGCTTGTTCATTTTTTTGGTCTTGCTTTATTTTTGAAAAAAAAAAAAAAAATCCCAAAAAGATTTTCTTAGTATGGTTTTGCAAGCTTGAAATTTTTGAGTGGTCCTTGGTGCATATTGGATTTGATGAGAATATCCATTACATGTTAATATATGTGTGCTTTCTGTGGTCATTACTCATTTTGGAGTGTGTGTTTTTTGATTAGTATGTCTCATTCTGTACACACTCTTGGATTAGCAAATTTTGGAGTCTTCCGCCTTAGTGATTATTATTTTTTTTCTATGGACTTCTGATATTGGTCTTTTGCGTTTCTAGAGGAATTGACCTATACTAGCATATCATGGGTGATGTTGAGTCTCTTAACCACCTTCCATCTTTTTGCACCTCCACGACTTTCCCCTTAATTCTTTGCAGTATAGCCATGAGGAAAAGGCTACCTCAGAGTCACCAACCAGGCCATTCTTATCATATCCATGCTTCTCTGGTTCAGTTTCCATACTCTTGAGCGTGTCAGCCACCAATGATTGTGCAAAAGAAAAAGAAAAAGAAAGAGAAGAAGACAAAATATGCAAAAGAAAGAAAAAAAAAATTGTGCAAAAGAAAGAAAGA